AGCCACCAAATCCTGAATCCGCAAGCTTCATCCGCTCGATAGAAATCAAGGCGCTCAGCTGATGCGTCGTCATGCACGAAAATGCAGACGCCCTGGGAACGGAGCGTAAGGCACTTCGTCACCTGGTGTCCTTACATGTCCTGAAGGCAGTGGTGCGTGGATGCGTGTGGTGCGTGGTATCCCCAGAGTTGATTTCGATATTGGCGTAAGGCCTTCGATGTGTTCTGTATACCTTTTGTGAAACATCACGAGGTGCAGGAGGTTCACTTGTTTGGCCGGTCAACTGTAGCCACCTAATCCCTGCGTTCACTTTCAGGGGCACCTCGGGATCGAATACCTTTGAGCCCCGAAAACCATGTTCCATTCTCGATCAGTCTTGATCCACCCATTCTCTGTCACGCATGGAGGTGCCTCTAACTTGGCTTGGAAACTAAGTTACTAAGGGCTTCGACCGTGTGTCCTCGATCATCGAGGCTATTTGGTTTGTAAATGCCATACTTATTAACTAATCTTAGATACACATTAGATTCATGTACAACTCGTTGGCAAGGCAAAGCAAGGCTAATCTATGCCAGATGGGTTCAGCATGGGATCCTTTATATATAAAAAAGGCCTTTTGCAATCTGGAAACGTTCATAGCGTGCAAAACTGCTGTCTGGACCCACTAAGACAAAGGAACTATGAGCCTCAACAATGCAAAAGGAAAATCAATACCTGTCCCAGAGAACAAGTTAAAAGAAAGTAAATCATTAAAAACAGTCTGGCCGCTTATGACTTATGGTGTTGCCTAGGCTTGCCTCGGCATCCTTCGCCAGGTGGACACTTTCGATGGTGAGGCGACTCTGGTAGAACTTCATGGTGAAATTCCCGTTGAACTCCTGAGAGCGGCTCCTTTCCAGCTAGCTACCCACGTCGTCTGGCAAGGTCCAACTCTTCACAAGCGACCTTTATGGTGAACCACTTCGAAGCCTCGCTTTTCCGCCCACACATGACGCAAACTCACTCGTGACAACCTTACACATTACGTCACATTACTTACTTGAACTTCTTTCTGCCAACCCTCTCCACAGCGCGCCGCTCTGCGCCTCGTTGCCCTTCTGGAAGGCCTCAATCTCTGTGGGCGTAGCTGAGAAGAACACAATGCGGAAGCTCTGCTCGCTGTTCTCGAAGGCTGGGAAGTATTCCGCCTCATTTCGCATTCAATATACGGGCTTGTGATGGAATGATGTCATCGGTTGATCACATCAATCGTTTGTAGAGCAGTCGTGGATGTATTTGATTTGCGAGTTGTACAGCAGTGAGTGGAGTCTTGTAATCTATGTGGGTGCATTGGGGCCATGGGGAGTCAATACCTTAGACCCACTCTTAGACCCATAACGCACTGACACTCGCTTTGACACAAAGTGCCAGGTGGACACCACTTTTCCAACCAAGCTCAAAGCGAACCACTACGTCACTACCTTGACGTCCCGGCCTTCATGGGATGTACTGGCGCTGGAAGGCTCTGCATGAACGTCATGGCCGCCGCCTGTGTGCTTTTCCGCAGCACTGATGGGGCCTCTTTGGGTGGCAGGCACACCTCACGTAGCACAAGCGGTCAACCGGATCTAAACATGTCACCGGAAGATTCCAATATGATTTTGATTTTCCATTCACATATTCAATCTATTTTGGAACTGCTCTTTGACATGTGTCGCTCTGCAGCCAAAGTTCACAATCCAATTTCCCATTCTGCTTTGGCGGCCCACAGCCATCGCGAACACCTCTGCAGGCAGTTAAATTAGGACCACGAGAACTTAAGCCAGGCCAAAAGTTGCAATTGCCCATACAAACAAGCATAGCAGTACGGTTACAAGTGACAACTTACAACCCAACTTCAAGGAAACAACAGCTTCTCCTTAGAGAGTATTTAGGTACTTTCAGGGAGCAGGAGTATCAACAAGTGACCGGCCGCCTGGCTGCCATGCTATATGGCGCAACTTTCATGGTGCGCGCACCTGCCAAGCTCTTCAAGGAAGTGTCAGAAATCGTCCTCAGCGCCTCCTTAGTGGTCTATGGAGTCGGCCGAGGACAGATGGAGAGTCGGCGGTTTCCGCAAGGTTGTTTAAAGACATCTTGTTGTTGCCAGCGGTCTTGACCAAGACTCAATTGGGCCCATGTTCCAAAAGGGTACGTGCCTTTTGCATCCTTTTGCTTTGGGAAGCAGGTGGCCAAGGCCTCCATTGATTGTCGATCACAACTTCGTTGCACCATTCGTGGCACCCTTCGATTATTCGTCTTGTTCCCAGCTACCATGATAACCCAACTTTTAAGACAAATGCAAATCAATGGAATCAAACATGAATCAAAACAACAATCTTCCAGCATCTCAACTTGCCGAAGTTTGGGCCGGGCCAACTCCGTGTGGGTCCACTACATCGATCAATGACTTGGGACCGACAAGAAACAGTAACACGTAGAAGCACTGATTTGCACTCTTGGAGTTTTTGACGCTTTTTGCTTTGACATGCTTTGACACTTTTACCAAGTTTTAGTCCTTTTCGGTGCACTCACGAAACCACATATTTGTGACCAAACATACAAGCATCATCAAGGAATGAATTCAATATGATCTAAAGTGCTTCATCAAGGGGTTGAATTCCTGACGGAGGCTCAGCAACCGCAGGGTCACATGCTTTTGACTGCCATTTTCTCCAGTGCTCAAGCCTTATAGAGTCCAAATTTACATAAAAACAACTCACAGTATGTTCACTATACCTGCAGGATCCTGCAGGTGTTGGGTGACTTGAGAGTAGCAGAATCTAAATGAGCCTAGTGTCTCGTGTGAAGAAGGCCAAGTGTGGGGTCAGGATAACGTTGGGCATCCGCAACAGCACAGCGATGTTCTCATCCGTGATCCAGCTGGTGGAGAAGTTCCTGGAACAGCTGAGTGGGTTCAAGGCTCGTCTTGTGTATTTGGGTAGGAGGATCATCAACCTGATGGAAATATGGACATCCATGGTATCTGCTCTATCATATACAGTAAGTATTTAATACATGTCTATGATATCTATGTGGGTGTGCCAAGTCTATGCCCACCATTAAGGTTCACCCGAATCGACCCAGTCTATTGCTTTGCTTGATTTTTCCATAATACTCCCAAGATCAAATCGCAGCAAACTGCAAACCACCAAAACAATCACACATGAGCAAACCAATCACACATGACACTGATTACACGCAAAACGAACACCGCAATGAGATCCACCGCCTGAAGAAATACGGCGCTTCGTTCTCGACCACATCCATGGCTGCTCCACCTATGGTGCCATCCTTCAAGCCTGGTGTCGCTGCGCTTGGATTTTGGTCCAGCCATTTAGGAATCGGCTATTGGCACAATGCAATCTTTATTGGCGTGAGGCCAATAACAGCAATATGGACGTGTTCACGAAACATCTTGAAACCGTCGCCTATCACTCCTTCGTGTCAGGTTCGGGCGGCTGTTTGCGTGTCCGAAGTCTGACCAAGCACGGCTTCAGCACGGCTAGGCGCTCGAAAATGGATCCTTCGGACCGGGTTAGGAGCGACCCGTCTTGTGGACCAACATTTCCAGGCGCAGGCAGCCACCACGTGGGATACATGGGGTGACTACCCTTTTGGAGTGAAGACCTTATTTCGCCCTTGCTGAAATGTCTTGCGAGCGTCGATCCAGTCCTCAAACGGTTGAGTTGTGTGCGTGAAGCCGCACGGTTCAGCATCGTAGTCAGTCCACTGCCACCAGATGCCACAAAACACGGCGGACCAAAGCCTATGTTCCATGCGATTCAAGGCGAGCCAACTCCAAGAACAAGCTCGCACTCGACGCAGAATGTGTCGAGTGGAACCGCGCACCGTGGGCGGGTACGCTTTGCGCGAACAAACCACGATCACCACGGTTCTTGACCAGCGACGCGCGGAGCAGTTTTGGAAAGACGTGGGAGGATGGCGGAGCGCTGGAGACTTGGCTCAACTTCTTTGAGCATTCTTTGGAGATCTGGGTGTGATCGCAAGGTGGATGTAATGCACCGCCTCAAGATGCAACACACCTGGTCTGCATAGCCGCGCCCAAAGAGAATCGTTTGCTACCGCAAGAGTGGCGCCCTTTCACTCATGTTTAACAAAGGTGCCCTGCACAAGCGTAGTAAAAGCATATCCGAGTAGAGTGTCCTACAAGAGTGTCACGCACGGTGTTCTTCAAGAGTGGCAAACAACAGTGATCTCTCTCTCTATATATATATATATATCATGCAAAACGTCTGAAATATCAACTTCTATCAACTTCTGAGGGTCTTGCAATATATAGAGCTCATGATGCTTCGTGGGATCAGTATTATTTTTTCTGTAGAGTTTGAACCTGTCGAAGCAAACTCGCTCCTTACCATCCCGCTGTAAGTGTCCGACTTCGATAATAGGTTGGAGGCCATCTCGCTGGTAGGTTGGAGGCAATTGCTATTAGTAACTCAAAAAATGATTCTTTTCTTAGCCTCAGAACTTTCACTGCTTTGCTTCCCTCAAGTCCCACCTTGGATCAATGCTTTGGTGTCGATGAGTCCACCACGGGAGGTGTTCACAATCCTCGGACGATGAATTGACTCTTCCGCCTCTCCAAAAGAAGCATTTCCATGGCATAGAGGAAGATCTTATGAGTCTATCGTGCACCAAGTCCGTGGGCGCCAATTCCGTGTTGAGAAAAAGACATATCAGCCCGAACTCCCTTTGGGAGGTCAAATCATGCTGCCCCAAGGGAGTTTTATGAGCCTGAAGTGCCTTCCAAATTGTGTTGGCTGTCAAAATGGATCTAGTTATATGGCATGTTGAAAGCAAATTAAACAAACTAGGCTTGGGAGTATCAAGGGCTGACTCTCATTGCAACAGGGTATAATCTCCTCTCGTGCAGTCCAGTGAGAGGCCCATGTCAGCGCATGTTGTCTCTTAACAGGAGACGACACATCCATCCAAAAGCACCAACGAGACCATGCATCATGATGCCTTTCTTCATGATCTTCAACTTGTCAAAGTTGATCATATGCTTCGTGGATGGCAGCAGTGGTGCATGCAAAGAGATGAAGTCACAAGTGGAGAGCAAATCATCCAGGGACACGTAGGGAATTGCCAAGCCTCAGTATCTCAGGACGATCTGATGGAGCTTAACCCCAGAGCTGTTGCATACTGACGGAGTCCCGACATGTTGCTGACTTTATGCGTCTCCGGCTACCTGTTGAGACAAACAAATTTGGAGGGCCCCTAGCGTCCTCTTGCTCCGTTCGTAGCGATGCCCTTTGTTCCTAGTAGCGTTCTTGTTCCTAGTAGTAAGGCCAGGAGCGCCCCTAGTAGCGTCCGGCTCCGATGTTCCAGGCCTTGTGGCTCGGGGTCCGCAATCTTGGGATTCTCCTGAGTTCGGTGCGTCTCCTTGAGAGCTGTGAAGAGGACTGCTTGATGAGACCGAGAGGATCTCATATTCGTCCAAAAGGAGCTCTGATATGCTTGCCATGAAGAGTTACTTGTTGCCAAGGAGCGAAAACATCATAAGCAACCACATCACATTCAAAGCCCTTCCTTAGATTTAGCGCTTGGATTGGTGCAGGAACTGTTCCTGCATAGATCGTACAAACTGGCGTGAAAGAGAAGAAACACGTCACAAGTTTGTGAAATCATGAAACCAGGCTGCAGGCTGCATGAAAACAGCAGGGAAGGGAAGAAGGGACGGGGAAAACAAGGAAGACGACTGTGCCATGGGCAACATGGGCAGATTGTTTCCCGACGTTCCTGAGCCGTCCGTGCCAAGTTTCTTCATGACTCGTGCAGTGATGGATCCAATCAAACCTGCGGAGCTTCAGTCTCGGCAGAGATTTATGGTGAGATTCTGGCAGCTTAGAGGCTTTAGAGCACAAGTTTTAAACCAAAGTCCTTGAGAGTCTCCAGTGTTGAATGTTCAACTTCCTCGAAAAGAAGTGAGTGTCAAGGTCTTGAACATCGTTGCGGTGACAACAGTGCCCGCCTGTACCGATGATGCCAACTCGTTTACCATGCAACGTTTGTCCTGAGAACTTGTGCAGATCAAAAGCAAGTCAAGCATCGAGTGGAGTTCTGTGCGGAAGTTCCAGGGCAATACCGGAAATCCCAACTAAGGGCTGCAAGCTGATGCTGCATGTGTGTGTATGTGTGATTCCTAACGACGTATGTAGGCAGGGGATGAAATGAATGAGCGTGGTTGCAGTGAAGCTTAGTGTGAGAAAATCGCATCAAGCCTCTGAAAATAGTGTGAGGAAAAGAACATCCAACATGCTATGCCCTGATATCCCCAAATGCTCCAGTTGCTATGATTGTCCAAAGCCGAGCTACCAATCATGGCACCATTCAAGCTGAAGTTCCCAATCCGTGCATTTCTGTAGGACCGTGTAATGTGGCGATTCCTTATTTCAGCAAGCTGGCTTAGCTGCATGTAGCAAAGAATCAGCATAAGTTACACACGAGGACACGCAAAGGAATCTCCCCCTCTGTGAGACCCATTGTGTTAATTGCATCAGGTTCTTTTTCAATCACACGTCCTCGGGCGGACCCCAAAAGTCCTGTCTTTGCACCAAACGGACCATCTCGGCCAAGGGGCAAGGACAACATCAATGCAACAGCATGCTCCCCGACTGCATACGGGCCTCGACAACATCAGGCTTTTCTGTCCCTGGTGCCTGTATATATAATAGCCGCTCAAGGCATTGAAATCTACTGGGAAATCATTCCACGGCAGGCGTGAAACTTGCTCTTTGAAGTGTTTTGAGAGCCGTTTCGAGGTTGCTCTTCACATCTCTTCACCATTGAAGCAACTCTACTGGGACCTACATCTCATTGAGAGTGTCCAAGATCAACATTTTGCCTCAACTGCACCAAGCAGCTGTAGGCCGGCACCCGGGCCACAGTGATGCCAAACCGCTCCGTGGCTTTGAGATCCACGCGGTCAAAGCCAGCGCAGCGCAGGGCGATCATCTGAACGCCCAACTGCCGATCGAAGGCAAACAGGTGAGACATGGGTTGCCTATGCTAGCCTCATGGCTAGCCTCATGGTGACACTGGTGAAATATGAAATGAGTTCAATGAAAAGTGGAAAGTTGGTCACGAAGAACTTTTGGAACTTCTTCAATCAAATACCTTTTCTAACATTCCACACCCTTTTGTTTGCATACACTTGGATTGGAAAGATACAAGGCAGCTTTGCCAAGTCTGAGGGGCACCATCACTTTTGTCTCTTTAACATTGCTTCTTGCCTAGCCCTTGATTTACACCGGTTGACAGACCTCTTGACATCGCTTGACCAGCTTCACGAAGCATCATTCCACAAGCCCAACTTTGCGGGACTTGGATCCTCAACTTCTCTGCTTTGCATCATAGCTAGTGTGACTTCACCAAACCCAGGCGCCCAACCAAGTCTTATGAAGAATTTCACACATCTCCAAAACTGATATGTTCCGGGCAGCTTCTTCATCGGGTGGCCCGCCTCATGAAGAGCTTCCACCACATCCGCACCTCCATTTTGCGTCGTGGGATTGTCTGCGGCACAAAAATCAGTGGGCTGTCCAGGGAGTGTACTGCACTTGCGTAGCAGCATAGCAGTAACACAATGACCATGACCAGGCATGAAGGGATGTCACAGGCAGATTCATTCTGTCACGCTAAATCACCGCCAACACGTGAAAAATCTTCGACAATTGGTCAATTGCTCTATCTTACACCAGCTACAACGTCTATGGCCAGCATCTGACCAATTGTTCACTAGGACTGTCAAGAAGTCGCACAAAATGTTACGCATCCTTGATCCTCGGTTGAAAGCAAACAAAATGAACAAAACATCATCTCTGTTGACCCAGGATGTTGGATTCCTATCTTCAGTCCTTTTACAGTGTTTCTTAGATGTTTAATGATTTTAAAACCTTTCGATGGCAAGTTTCCCCACCCTTAGACTCGAACCATAGCACCTGCGAAGTCGTTCACGAAAGTGCAAACCGCATCACAACCTTGTGCCAGCTTCACAGTGTCCTGAGTGGTCCAGCACCGTCGATTGTCCCGGAACATCCAGGAAGCCCTGATATGAAGGACGCTACTAGTAGCAAAGGGCATCGCTACTAGGATCAAGGATGCTATTAGTAGCTCCTGCCCATACTACTAGTACCAATAAAGCTACTAGTAACAAATGCATCGCTTCTAGTAACAAGTGCCTTACTAGTAGGAACAAGAAGCTACTAGTAATAGTAAAGCTACTAGGGGCTCCCTGCACACCGGGCACACCGGACCGCCAAATCCATCCTTCAATCACTCGAGGTGAGATGAGCTCAGCTGTTCGTGCCGTAAGCCGATGAATATCACTGCTGCGTGTCACGCCGAAAAAAAGAACCTAGCAGAAACATCCTTCGCAATCTGCAACTGTGGCACCATATTCAATTGCTCCGGGTTGTAGGTAAACTCCATGTTGCTGCTTAGCTCCTGTCAGCTTGGTGTCAGACAAAGCGTCGGGTCGGAACGGGCCCGACTTGATGAACATGAATGGCCAGACTCAGACTATGAATGAACAGCTCGTTAAAAATTGGGAGGGTTCCAACTTTCTGGAAAAACTCTGCAGACTTCGGCCCTGCAAAATATCCAAATTCTATTTGGAAATCTTTCTGGTGTTCATCCGTGCTCAACACAAGGGATATTTATTTTACGTGATTTCCAATGATTTCCCTGCGCCCAAGTCATGCGAAGCTTCTTTTCATCAAACCGTTCTCCTCGTTTGCTCGATCGAACCACTCTCGGTCATAGGGAGCACACGAGAAAATGGCCACCTGACGAGTTGGATGTCCGCGTGGGGCTATTTAGGTCGTTGAAGTGGAGGATAGTAACAAGAAGCTACTAGGGGCGCCTGGCATCGCTACTAGGAGCAAGGACGCTACTAGGGGCTCCTGGCCGTACTACTAGGAGCAAGAAGCTACTAGGAGCAAGGGATGTCGTGGAACTTGTGCAGGGCTCTTGTTGTCATAGTTCAATGTGAGAATTAAAGGGATTCTTGCAGCTAAGGCAGGCTGCTCTTCGGCTTTGTCTGGGTTCAATCATGTCAACGTTTTGTCAATAGTCTTTTTCATCCTTGCATTATCTTTAGATCTTTTATCCTTTTTTAAACCTTTTTTCGCATTTCGCCTCGAAGTAAACACGCTTTAGACGAGATTAGATACGTTTTAAGCGCCTTGAAGCTCCGAGATTTGGACCTCGAGCTTGAGCTGCGCATCTCGAAGAGCCAACGCACGAAGGCCTCACCAAAGGGGAGGTCGCTTGAGGTCGCTTTGTCCCAAAAGCAGCTTGCTTTTAAGCAGCTTGCTTTGTCTGAGAGTATAGAACCTTGGATAGAACCTTGGGATTTCACTTCTTACTCGAAAACCAATGGCTTTCATTTGCTCCCTGTCCAAGTGGCCAATGCCCTCCCTTTGCCGGTCCTCGTACTGGATGTGCTCACCCCAAGTGTGGAGCAGCGTTTCCTCACTGCAGAAACTGTTTGATCAGTTGAATGTCTGAATATGTAATCGCACTTCTATGGAAGTAAAAGTAGATTGGTCTAGATTGACCGCGGCCTGATTCAAGCGCATTCCAGGCACAACCTTCCATCATTGAACCTAGCTACAGACCAATTCCTGGTGCCAAACTCATGTACATTAAGGATGGACATCTAATTGTATCATGTCATATCATGAAAGCTAAAGATCTTTTTGTAGTGACTCTAGTGCAGGACGAATCCATCTTGCACTCCTGTGGACTTTGGTGCTTGAACGGGGTTTCACAATCTTCTTGTTCAAGCATGCAGGAATGGCAACCGACTGAGAGGGTGTGTCCGAAACTGGGGACTGTTAAAGTCAACAAAGTCAACTGCTTGGTGGGAGAGCCAGTTTGTCCCCAAATCCCTACGAGTCCAGTCACACACACAGTATCTCTTTCAATCTGCCCTCTCTTTGATCCCACGTCCCAGAGACCACATCATCTTCGCGCCAATCCGGAAGGGCTGACTCCAGAACATTTAATAGGTCGTGCTTCGGCAACGCACCACTGCCTGATGCTGCCAAAAGCAAACAACTTCGGGAAATTTTGGGACTAAAATGCATCTGCTGCAAAGATGCACTATGCGAAGCAGAGTGCACCGCATGCCAAACACTCGTCTGAAACAAATGACCCAGAATGGCTTGGAGGAGATTATTCAAACACTGTCGGGGTGACAATGTCCGTCTAGTCAATTACATTTTGTTGTTTCGGCTGCCACCTGCCGACCAAAATTGAAACGCTTTTGATCTCTCTCAACGAGCACGGGATCCAATCACCGGAATAGTGTGTGTTTGTTTATTACCTCGCCCCTTGCTGTAGGCAAACAAACTGCTATGAACGATTGAACTCATGGACACTGCGATGGCTAGAAACATTCACACATCTCGTGCCTTAAGTGCCGAAACCAAACGCATGACGTCGACGTCTTGAAGACTTTTAGATATGTTCAGTCCGTATCTTTACAACAAATGTAGACTCATGTAGACACTACATCTGCATCTCTATCTCTCCTGCAGCACTTGCCTACCGTAGCTTCAATACATGATATATGTCAATGTTCATCAATCTTCCGTTCTCACCTGCAGCGTCAATCCTCCGGCATTCAGTGAGGATTGAAGATGCCATTGCACAGCACTAAGATTTCAATTTCCAAACTTATTGTTATATATAGAAACACATATCATGAACCTGAGCGTCAGATTTCAAACATGTGAATGAACAATTGTATTGACACTCTTCCCTGCTGCTTTATGTAGCCCACTCCACAAAATGATCCAGTTCTTGCGGATATTGCAGAGGACCTTTCACATTCCTGGATTCACATTGCGCACTGAATGGCCACTTTGGGCGCCGAACTCACAAAATCCGGTATGCCGAAAAACACAGGGCAGCACAGGGTGTCTGAAGGTCGACTCGAAATCCTCTGACTGACTGTGACCCCTTGCTCACAACATGCAAGCAAGGCCCATGTTGACTCAGTGCGATCTCACTTCTGTTTCTGTAAGCCCAACTTTGGACTGCCACCCTCTAGCGCGCAACAGGTATCGTTTTTCTCTTCCCATCCCCTTGTTGCTAGCCGTCCGCTGCAAGCTATAGTACGGTTATTGTACAGGACACCTCAGCTCAGCAAAGGGCTACAAAACACTTCCGGATCTTCCCAAACACTCTGGTCCAAAGGTATCTCAAAAACGATCCAACTTTTGTGAGGGCTCAGGAAAACTCATTTCTTTAGGAAATTTCAGGTCTAATCATATTCCCTCATCCATTGAAGTAAGGAGCATCCTAAACACAGTGTATCGCAGTACCCTGGGGCTAGCACAGGTTCTACCCTGGGGTTATCTTCATCGAATTGGGATTTCAATATAGAATTCAGAGCATATGCCAGATAGAATGCCCGGATATCTTTGATGCCAGATAGAATGCCAGGCTGCCAGAATGTGAATGCCAGGCTGCCAGAATGTGTGCCAGAATGTCAGAATAAAAGGCAAGAGTATATGCCAGATAGAATGCCGTGCCAGATAGAATGCCAACAAGCGTACCAAATAAAGAGTCAGTCAGAGTATATGCCAGATAGAATGTCCGACTTTATGCCAGATAGAGTGCCAGGATATCTTTGATGGCAGAACACATGTCGGAATACCTGGCAGAACACAGGACCGAAGTCCGCCCATATGTCACAGCACATGACAGAAAAAATGTCAGAACACACTCCAACGACGTCAGAACACGGTCCAGAACGTTTCACAGCCAGAGCATGCGTCGGAACATCAATCCTGTCCGCCTTTGTCAGGCTAGTCTGTCACATGTGCCCTGCCGTGGAGATCACTGGAAGTAAAGTTGAGAGCAAACAACTGGCAGAACAACGCCAACCTCACAAACGGTCTGAGAAATGGTTGGATCGTTGAAGTCTTTATTATGTACCGTTCCCCCGTTCCCTTGCCAGTTGCTTCTCACGGTCGGCTGCACATGTTTTACAGGGCAAATTTCTGAGGATGGGACTTGTGCGGATGAGCACCAACCTGGCGCGAAAGAGTGGATCAAGGAACACTGCTCAGCAAGAGCATGGCATTTACAAAGTTTCGTAGGCGGTGAACGTGTCTACGAATACTCTTGCGCCGTCTGCACCACTTGCACTGTGTGTGCCTGCGCCACTGCATGATTTGCGCCTCCTGCGCTGTTTTCATCGTTTGCACTGCCCACACTGCTTGTGCCGTCTGTGCCGCTTGCACTGGTCGCGCCCCGTGTGCATGTGCGTGTGGCTGGCTGCGTAATTCAGGCTTGTTCATGTGTGTGTCGGTGTGAGTTTTGGCCGTTGGCTGACAGTGGCCAGCATTGAAGCTGCTGGGCCCAACTGCTTGAATTTTCCCTTGAAGCCCAATGCGGAAAAGTGAAAAGACAACACTACCCCAAGCTAATGGTAGTAGATGCTGTGGAAAGTGGGCCCGACTTTTGTAAACCATATTTTCAAGCACCAACACGTCTTGACATTTAGCAACCTCGCGGTTTTGGCAGTTTTGAATGAGCTTGAAATGTCCACTCATACAAAAGGTTGGGTGTGCTTTCAGGTGTTTCCCTCAACCTTTAGGCCAGGCAAAACCGAATCTGCTTCCTTGTCAGAAAACACACAAATGAAACTCACTCGCTCCGTTGGTGGTACAAATATTCCGCCATCAAATGTTGGACATTCCGACGTACAGCATTCTCTATCTGAGAACCGAAGTAGTTCACCCGTGCTAGCTCTCCAAGCATTATGTACTGCAAAAGGCCACTCCAGTAATAACTGAAGGAAAGCAACGGAGGACATGGAGGACATCGCTATTGGGTTGGAGGCAATCGCAATTAGAAACAAACAGAAAGAGAAGAAAGGTCTAATAATACAGTTTGCTATTGGGTTGGAGGACTGCTGGTCGGTCGGGTTGCTGAGTGTGGCACTCTCGAAGGCGGAATATGGTCTGATCGAAAAGCATCCTGTGACTACAAAGCACAGTAAGCAAGCACATCAAGTGACAGCAAAAAGTGCCATACTTGGTGACTCATTAACTCAGCAAACTACTTGGAAGAGTACTTCCTGTCAATCAACTACGTTCCATGAAGGAGCTTCAATTGGAAGCCACCTTGCATGCCTGTTGACAACGCGGTGTCGTCGCTTACAATCAATTCACTTTTGATGTTCATCATTGTTCAATAGCATTTGTAAAGGCACCCTTTGAGAGCCGACTGCTGTATCCAAATGTATCGGACCCAACAGGATTTCGTTCATGAACAGTGTCCGCCCTGGAGGTTCAGCCTGCGCTTTTTTCTGATGATTTTACCTAGGGAAATCCCTGTACCTCGAACAGAAATACAATTTGGTGATGTAGTACCTCGATGTACCTCGTGTCTATTATACCTCTAACTTAGATTCATGAAGTCAACCGGATAAACACAAAGTCGTACGCACCGAACACGCTTTCAAAGGCAGGTCCTCTTCTTCAGGCTCCTGAGACGGGCAATCAGAGCGCACAAGCGCCTTCAAACACTGGTCACCCTACCATTTTTTCCGGATATATAAGCTGACACGAATGCAGAGTACACCATGTGGTGCCAAAAAAGAGCCTATCAAGTAAGATGATTTGGACGCCCATCTGTCACAGAATCTCCACGAAGTCCGTTGCCGCTGGGCACCTCGTTGTGTTTGTGACCATCAGTGTTCGTTGACCTGCAAAGTCACTGAGCGCACGGAGTGCTCAGGAAGGTCGAGCTTGGTTGCATGGGTCGCATATGTTCATGGCAATTCTCGTTAACTGACCACGCCTAGTCCAATCAATTATCGCCCTCGCTTGAAAGCTTGTGTCATCTTGTCTTGGTGCTGCCCTCTCTTAAAAGCCACGCTTCCTGACTCAGCCCCTACATGAATCATGCAAGGAATGCCCAAAGATCCAGCATTCATCATTCATAGTCAATCTCAAACCCCAAAAATATTATCCCAATACCTCCTATATACTTACTTGATAGTCATTCTTGGGTATTTTCTCGGAAAGCTCCATTAAGGGGATCTGACACCCAGCCTTCTACTCCAAGACATCGCATGGGATCAGCGTTTTTTTTTTAAAGAAGCGGAAACCTTGACATCTTTAGATCAGAGTTCCCAGAACATTTTTGAAAGATTTCTCGGCCGCCCGGACACTGGAAGTTGGCCTTCACCTCCGCTGAAAAATACAGCTGGAGAAGGCAGAATATTCACATCAAACTGGCAGCAAACCTGTCAAACACACCAAACTCCTTGAACATCTGGCTCCCAATCTACTTCACAACCAGTCAGAAATTAAGAAGCAGGTTGAATCACAACGGGATGAGGATGAACCTACTGAATCTCTATACCTGCCACCATTTGACCGTCATGTAAAGCCACACGACCGCCACTTTTGCATTTGTTGTCTGTGAGGTGTTTCACCAAGGTCCCCAAAGCTTGACTTCCTATCCATGCATGCTGAATGATCTGCATGCATGCAATCTTGTTGTTGCAAGCATGGAGCAGAACTTCATGGCCATCAAACAGGCTTCCAAAAATAGCTATGTGTCTTTCCAAAAACTGTTGGTGTCACCAAATCAATAATGGGCTTTTTACTTTACTCCAAGGCAATGACTTCTTCTCAAACAACTTCAGCCTAGGTGGTTAGAGGTACCCAATTTGTCATCTCCAGTCTTGAAGACTTTTGGCTGCTGAGGGGCCTTCTCGGTGCCGACCAACTTCCTGCAAGAAGCGGCTGGAAAAGTCTCCCAATCCACCCGAAACAACACCAATTATATATTACATATATACAGTATATACACACACTGTATATACTATGGACGTCTAATGGCGTCTATGCACTACATGTCCTGCTTTCTTCACATAGGGACTCAAAAACTTCCCAGCTGAGTTTGTCAGGTTGAACCTGCGGGTTTTGTTGTGAAGAGATGGGGGGTTGTCAAAATCGATCGTTGGCTTGGGCACACAGTCTCGTGTTCCTGGACTTTACAAACTTTGCAAAAGGGATTTCTTCCAGCTCGGGTAGGTTGAGCCATCACTGAATGCTTCCTTTGTGAATGACTGGCGGGTTGACGGACAAAGCTCCTTTGCATGCGTCGGCCTTAGTGTCCATGTCTCCACTATCGAGTCGTTGGATTTTAAGGCAAACAAACACTGAAAAATAGGAGCAATGTTCGCTACTAGGAGCAAAGTGCATAGCTACTAGCAGCAAGGACGCTACTATGGGCTCCTGGCCCTACTACTAGGAGCAATGTTCGCTACTATGAGCAAAGTGCATCGCTACTAGGAGCGAGGACGCTACTAGGGGCTCCTGGCCCTACTACAAGGAGCAAGAAGCTACTAGGAGCTGGTTTGTAGGATCTTTTAGGACAGTGCTGCACTTTGTAGCACCATACTTACGAGTATATACCATACTCTGATGCTGATTTGTCTGATGAAAAAGTAGGTTCCCATCGTCAACAGCGCTTACGGCAAACACCCATATAGGCGAATTCTCACTAGTAACAAGTGCATCGCTACTAGCAAGGGCATTGCTCTAGTAGCTAGAAGATAGTAACAGCACCGCTACTCGCCTCGAACCCCGACTGAGGGCGAAACTCATCCCGAGAAGGCCCTGGGATGGGTTCGGTGCCTTCCCGGAAGGCC